AAAATGAGTGAGAGAGGGAGAGAGGCACTTAAAGGCTTTGCCAAATTGCTTGACTGTGTGCGTGTGTCAAAAATATTGAATGATTTAATTGATTCGTTTCACTTGAGCTTAATATGAAGGCAGCATAATATATGCATATATAATATTGGCCGACTTAAAAAGCTGATTAAAAGATGCTTTGATAGCTACCCGATATATCATCCGATATTTATAGTTCTTATATTACGCATACGTCACATGGTTCACTTGAAGAGGAAATTACAATTTCTATTTTGTTATCTTCAAGCATTCATATACATATACCTGCATACACATATACATTCTCTCACATGTGTCTGCGTGTGTGTGATATTTTTTGGCTCTACTCTTTTCAAATATTTTTGAAATTGTTTTCAGTTTATCGCTGGCATTTGAAGCGTTCAAACGCGTCTACCAAACAAACAAAAAAAAAAAAAGAGAAAAACAATTTTCGCAAAGAATTTCATTTTGATAAACGAATTTGTTGTGCAGACTACAAAATTGTTATTAAATCAATTATATTTATGTCCCATATACATACTTGTTTCAAATAGAATAGAAACATCTAGAACAATGTTCAAAATCTGTGAAACTGCATTGAAAATGTTTTCTTCAATATGCCACAAAAAGTGTTAAGAAATGACAAAAATACCTGCCCATAAAATACACAGCTAATGGAAAATTGTTTATTTTGATTTGAAATGCAAATTATAAACAAATATATGAAAGCCGAAAACAAAAACTGCAAATAAATGTAATTGTGAATCAAAAAATAACCAAAACAAAAAAAAATTACAATAAAATCTACATAAATAAATAACTAAAATATGTATGTATATATAGTTATATATATTTATGTGTGGCTCAACAAAGGCCATTGAAAGATATAGAAACGTCATCGATCAAATTAATAAGGAAAGAGACAGAGCTCGTATTTTCTGAGAATTTTCAGCTGTTCAACTGCATATCTTAAATAATAAATTATACTATTTAACTATTATATTTTATCGAAATCAAAATGTAAGTCGATTCAAATGTATTATTTGTGTTTAGCCAGCTTTGAACTGGTTATGATAAATTGTCTTTCCTTGCCATACATCAAAATGGTCTAGTTATATCTCTCTGTTTCCCTCTTTCTCTCGCTATACATATATATATAGGTATTCATGTATATTTATGCCATCCTTGACACTGTCCTAACAGCACGCGATATCGAGATTTAGCTAGTATGACGCTTCTATTTTTGCTCACTTAATATTATTATTTTTATTCGCGTTTTTTCTTAGCTCGTCTTTTTTTCTTTTTGCACATTATTTTTCGTTCAAAACCTGAGCAATTTTTTATGCCGTGCATTGTGTCATAAATATTTTTAAATTTCCTCTGTCATTTGTTTATTGTTTTCGGCGCTTAAGCAAATTGTTTGAAGCTCTTTGGATTGGTGATTTTTCTCGATTTTTTCGATTTTCTTGACCATCAGATTTTCATAATTTTTGCCAGGTTTGCTTTGCATTTGAACTTGCCGACTTAGTCGACTTAGTCGCCGTGCTAAATCGGGCCATGAACGAATTGTGCATTCCCCCCCACAGACAGTGTTTCCATTGCTAATGCAATTAGCTAACTTATTCGTGTCTTGATTGTATTTGCAGGTCTGCGACAGTGACAAATGATGGCCTAAAATGGCGGCCACACCACCAATACCGCCCGGAGCAAATCATTTCCAATTAAATGGCAATCCTCCACAACAGCAACAGGAGCAGCAACAGCAACAGCAACAGCAACAACAAGCGAGCAACAACAACACGCCCAACATAGTCGAGGCACTCCAGCAACATTTTCAATTCAAGGCACTGCTTAACGCGGACGAGGATCAGCAGCAGCAGCAGCAGCAGCAGCAGCAACTGCAGCAAGAGCAACAGCAGCAGCAAGAGCAACAGGAGCAGCAGAGAAACGACAGCAACATCACCAGCAACAGCAACAGCAACATTAGCCGCAGCAGCAGCTATGAACAGCTGGGGGAGTCTGCCTGTAGGCCGAAAGCCAAGCTAAGCTGCCAGTGCACAAACATAAGTATTATGCACCTGTTCCACGAGATGAAGCAGGAGTTTCCCACGCTGCCGGATGCCTTGGTGACGCAATGCGTCAATGAGAATTGCCATCAGCGCGACAATTGCATACAGATGTTGAAGAAGGAGCTGGCGCTGCACCCCTCGCCCGTTCAGTCCTATCCCGCCAAGGTGGTGCAACAGCAACAGCATTTGCAGCAACAGCAGCGCCAAGCAAAGCCGCCGACGCCCTTGAAGCCGTCGCGGGCTGCGCCCACCCAGCCACCAACCGGTGGTGTTGACACACCGACAGGCACACCCATTGCCCGCACTCGACCCACCACATTGAATTTGCCGCGTCAGCTAAACGCACAGCTGCAGCAGAAGATACAACAGCGACAGCAGCAGCAGCAACAGCAAGCGACGCCGCGACAACAGCAGACGCCCAGCGCGCAGTACAAGCCGCTGCGTCGCGCACCCCCGCTGCCTCCGCTGCCGCCGAAGCCGTTGGCCGTTGTCTCAAGCAGCTGCTCCAATGATTCCTCCTGTCTCACCAGCCCGCTCAGCTCTAGCGAATCGGAGCTGTCGCTCAATGTTTCCTTATCATCGCCAACGTCAGCGACAACCGTGGCTGCTGCTGCTGTTACGGCGACGACGTCAGCTGCGCAGTCGGCAGCGCCAGCTACTGCGCAGTTACGCTCGCCCGTGCGACATCGGTCAGTCATCACGCTGCAGCCGGAGCCGCCTTATGCGCGCGAATTTCTTAGCAACGCGGTCAGTGCAATTTCGCCGTCGGCAGCGCCAGCGCCAGCGCCCACGCCCCCATCGCCCACATCCGGTGGCAGCACGCCGAGCGGCCGAAAGAGCTTCACCTCACTCAATCTCACTCTGCGCCAGCCGCAGATCAGCAGCAACGGAGCGGCGCCCGCTACGATAGACATCACGGCCGGTCCAGCGGCTAGCGGGAACGGCAGCAGCGGCATCACCTACTCGAGCAGCAGCTTTGATGCGCGCCGCGGCACCCACAAGAACTTCCAGCTGACGGTCACCGACGAGGGCAGCGTCTTTAGCGCCGGCTGTGTGCGTCCCCAGGTGCCGCTCTACGCGCCCTGCCCGCCGCCCCCAACCACACCGCCATCCCAGCCAGGAGTGCTGGTCACCGATGGAGCAACGCCCACAGCACGCCAGCAACAGCAACAGCAGCTGCAACAGCAACTACAGGAGCAGGCCGAAGCAGCAGCAGCAGCAGAAGAAGCAGCTGCTGCAGCACCGCCCGAGATGCCGGCCATATTTCCATATCCCACACAGGCGCAGAACCATATTGTCGCCTCCAACTATAACAACAATCATCTGCAGAACAACAGCAACAGCGGAGACAACAGCCCCAGCGTCACGCACATGCCCCTCTACGAGGGCGTTGTGCCCGAATCGGATCGAGAAGGTGAGTCCGAAGATAAAGAAAGCGAGTATTAAAAGCGAAGTCATAGCGAGGCAACTAATCGAAAAGATCTGTTCCGATAGACGAGCAGGTGTACATAGACCTATATTTAATCAGTCCCAGAAATTGTTGATTGAATTTCCGACTGCTCTCTTAGAACCTCAAGCAAAACTCAAAAACAAAATGCTTAAGGAAAGTGAAATGCATATATCGATAATAATAATGATAAATATATATAAATATATTTCTAATCATTCAAAGTGATAGATGTCGAAGAAAGCAAAGCTCTATTGATGAAATAAGTATCTCGATATGCGTAGGAACTGTACAATCCATTTATTTCAAGAAATTATCTATACAGGTTGGTTTTATACATTTAGTGTAGCCTACATGTCTAGTAAAGTCTTATAAACGGGTTGAAAGATTGATTTTATTTCAATATATGTATATATAAAAATCATATTCCAATATATTTCAATAATCAGTCAGAGAAAAGTGATTGATGTTACGAGTGAAAAACTACAGCGAAGCTCTATAGCTTTAATAATCTGTATATACGTGTCCGAATCTGCATATTCAAGAATAAAATAGAGGTTTCCGTCTACATATACATATATGTTTCTCAGATGTATGTATGTATACTTTCAATCCAAGTAAAATGTTCCTGTTTTTCAAATATAACAACAATTAGGCTAGTTCCAAAAAAAAGTAATAATTTTATAATTTATGTTAGACACGAATTATTTAATTCATTTATTCATTACTTATTACTTTTTAGTATAGTTAGTTATTAAACATGATCAGCAAATAGCCACAAGAAACTCACATAAGTAATATTTGGACCTCCACATGTTTCGCATGTCTAGAATCGCATTCGTTATCTGCGACGTAATTTTGGTTTCATGGTCTGGGTTTCCTTTATAGGGGACTTTTTTTCCCCCGTATTATAGGTCTAATCGCACCAGACCTTATCAGACCATTCTGTTTACAATTGATAACAAATTGAATTACGCCCCAAATGTTGCGAACAATGTTGTTAAATATGAAACTCTTTAACTAATATTTACATTAGGGAATCGAATATATATTAGCTTAATCACACCTATATAGATACATTTATCGTTATATGCTCATACACGATTCAGACTGTATTGTATCTAATGAGTTTGGTGAAATTTAAACTCTTGAAATCATATATGCTTACAAGTTAAATAAGAATAATCGATATTTATCGATTTTAGGCTTTACTAGACAAGGGTATATCTAGAAGAAAAAATATTATGGAATCCATGTGTTTTGTTCGTTCCTTTTAGAGACCGACGTATCTCCCTTTTTTAAATTTAACAACAGGTTTTAAACCATTTTAATCTTCTAATCATTATATTGTAGATAAACAAATCTATGTAATCATATAAATCGATACTTGTCAGATTTGAAATGAAGCAATCGAAAATTATTTCATTTACCTTGTAAGCTTCTACGTCTTCTCAGATCTCAGAAGAGGTCTATTATTATAAGTAGGGATATAATATTGCATAAGGCTATTCCAACTGTCATCAAGCTCGCGATATATGAATATAATTTTACTTTCTACATAAAATAGGCCTATCAATTTGTATTTTCTTAGAATTATTCGACTATTTTGATGCCCAATAAATTTGTTTAAAAATTTTTTCATTCATTTGAAATTCCCTAAAATAATGTGCTAATTTTATATACTATTTTTTAATTTCATTCTCGACATATAAATAATTCGAGCTAGCTTAACTACTAGGCAGATCGAATATAAATCTCTATAATAATCCAGAAAATCTTTCAATTATTTTTATGCGTTTTTTTTCGATTGTCCAACCTTCTCGAAAATGCAGATAGCTTACCTATATAAGCAATTTACCTAGGTATATCATATATATAAAGACAATAATATATAAAATGTATCGCCCACGCTTCGATTTCGTTTAATATATATACTTATATGTATATATATAGATTGAGTCCGACATATTATTTGCTGTAGAAATGTCTCTTGTCTGTACTTTTTCCATTCTGTTTCAATCCATTTCGTTTCGTTTCCACCAGCTGCGCATCTGCCGGTCTTCCGCTCAGTCTCACCGTCCGCGTTTCTTAACATTATATTTATACAACGCTCTCTCTCTCTCTCTCTTTCTCTGTCCATCTCTCTCTCTTTTTCTATCTATCTCTTCCACTCTTTCTCTCCTGCTTTCTCATTTTGTTTTCTTTTATTTCTGTTCTTTCATTTATTGTTGCTGCGACTCGTTCAAGTTCACGGCGAAAATGCGAAGAAAACGTCGCGATAGCAACAACTTAGTCCGAATCGGAATTCGTATTCGAGCCCGAATTCTAATTGGTTCGCAAATAGTGCTCCACTTGACACATTAAGCATACACAGCATGGGCAAAAGGCCTTCTCACAATGTTAATATATTGAAAATGATGTTGCTTCGATTAAAATATAGTTATCGAAGTTCTCATACATATATGTATGCATGAAAAGCACTTAGCGCATTTGCTTTTAGCCAAACTATTTAAAAAGCGACAGTCAATCAAATTAAAATAACATTCTTCACACTTTTACTTTTGGGACATATCGTGGAATTCTTCTCGTCCATTAACGAATTAATTTATCAATTAAAATGTCTGCAGAACACAAGCAAATGACGTACTACAACATTTTCATTTGCTTTYTYTAAATATATGTTCTRTATGTCAGCTTGATCCTCCTTTGGCCTATTGCCCTGTTTGCTATTTCCGCTAGAAATCTATCAAAATGTCTAAAAATATGTGTCTGCTTTTATTTAATTTTATTTAAACTGTTTTCTTCTTCGTTTCGTTCTTTTTGTTAGTTTGTTAAAATCAAATTCAAAAATCATTTCAAATCGGGCGTTGCGCTGCCTTATTTTCAGTCAAAAATAAATTATTATTAGATTGATTTCTCGTGTGTTTGCGCATTTTGACTAAATTTAAATTTGTTTATGAACTTTTAGCGAGCGAGCAAAAATGCGCGCCTTTATTTTTAGCAACAAACAGAGTAATAAAATGTGAGCTATAGAGCCGTAAATATACTTGCTATGTGTATAGATATACAAATGTATATAAATAAATATTAAATATATATGTGTTGATATATATTTAATTAACTGATTGATCGATATGTTTATGTACATAATTCTACATAAATGAATATGAATAATATTTTTAATTAAGTCAACTTGCTGATCAATATGTGTTCTTTTCGTTTGCAGCGCATGCCAAGATCATTGAGCGCCAGAAGCAGCGACGCGACAAGCTGGCCAACGCGTTACGTGAGAATAAGAAGCGCCTGCTCATGCTGGAGCAGGAGATCAACATTTTGACCGAGCCGGTGCCAGAGGGCGAATCTGAAAGACTGGATAGAGATATCAAGAAACTCACTGAGGACTGTCAGCGACTACTCAATGGTAAGATTCACAAATTGTCAATTATCAATTCGAGTTGACTTCAATTAACGACTGCTCTCCTTCCAGATCCTCAGCTGAATGGCAATGCAGCCGCGCCAAATTCCATGAATCGTCAACAATCGGCGCCCCCAGGCCCACAGCAACAGTATCTGCCACTTCCAGGACACCCTCCTGGCACCGCTCGGACTCAGGTGCCGCCAAATTCGCTGCGGCTTCACTCGGTGCCCGCGGCGCAGACACAATCGCATCTAGATTTCGTGCAGCACCCCAGCAGTGCGCCCAGCTCGGCGTGCTTGACGCCGCAGCAGCAGCAGCAGCTGCAACTGGAGATGGAGCCGCCGCCCACCTATGCGCAATACTATCAGTTTCAGCAATTTCTGCGGCAGCAGCGGGCAGCTGCCGCGGCCGCAGCAGCAACGGCGGCGTCTGCAGCTCCACCCCTATCATCACCTGCAAGAACCGTTGCCCAGYCACGTGCCAATCAAGAGGAGGAGGAGGAGTCCCTGTCCGAATCGGAGGTGGACGAAGGCGAGGAGCCACTGGATATGTGGGCCTGCAACTTGTGTACATTCCGCAATCATCCGCAACTGAATATATGCGAAGCCTGTGAAAACGTTAGGATCCAGCCGGGTATGATACGCATTGTGCCTAATGCTGATGAGAGCGCACAGCCCCGGCCACGCCCACAACAGCAAATGCAGCCAGAGGCCGATGCCAATCGCCAGCAGCCATACGCTTTGCACACGTGACAGATTGCTCGTTTTTGATCATTTGAGTGCTCGCTGGCTTGCCTGCTTATATATCATTTATAAGTGCACTAATCGTCAGCTATGTTCTCTGTGTCAATGCAAAGTTCTCTTAACATGCATGGCTTGCACGCGTTGTCTGCATGTTGGCAACTTTGAAACTGTGATAGCATATATGTATATTTAAATTAGTTTCCAGCTAAGCAACTTAATTACAAAACCACAAAAGTCATGGCACGCATGCAGCCTCTATAGATACAAAAAGGACTAAAATATGAATAAAAGCAAACGAAACTTTTGCTCATTCGAAAGACACGACAAACCTAAATACGAAACATGTAACATGATGCATTATTGAACCACAACACATACTATCTATAAACCGTGAAGTTTATGTTTAATTAATATTTATGTCAAATGCATATGCCTCATTATCTGTTTTATTGTTAGCGTCTGTATTACTAAGCAAACAAAGTTTATTACTATTTTAAGCAGCTTTCGTAAATAAAGAAGTTATTTAAATATTTACAAAATGCGTTGTTGTTGCTGCTGCACTTCCTCTTCATACATGTTTATATTTATACTAATTGCAATTCTTTTCTTATAGCGCCGATTCACAATCGAGAGGACATACATATAACACTCTCGCCCGGCGAAAATCGTAAGCTCTCTAATTGAATTCAAATAATATGCCTATGCTTAATATAGTTTTCCACCGTTGCAGGTATTATACACTCTTGGATTCTTTCGTGACAGTCGGGGAAACACTAACAACCAAAAATAGACAACACACTTAACTTACTTAATTGTTTAACATATTTATTTGGCTTTTTGTATTATATTAATGTACATAAATTTGTAACTCAAACGCTGCTGGCAGCGTTTACTACAGTAATATATTTTATATGCTATTTGTTGATATTCTGGCTTAAGAATCGAAGACTTTTAGTAAAACAACTGTATATAAGGAAAAGTAGTCAATTTTGTCAATTTAATGTATTAAGTTTTCTACAAGGAACACAGCTAAAATCGAATATGCAAAAATTTTTGTAAGCTTTGCTAGAAACAAAAACTCGTTACAATTTACAAAATTAAAGTGCGAAGGAGAAAAATAAATAAAACAGTATGCAATGTTTTATTTCAAATGGATTTGAATTTAGCATAAATTAATGTTTTGAAAATACATGGCGATACATTCGATAGTTGATAGGTGGAAACACTAATCAGAGAAAAAATACGTTTCTAGCACCAGCTACCGATAACAATCTGTTTCGATAGTTTGCTTGAGATGTGCGATATCAAGTAACCGCTTACCAGAGTATCGCTCCACTCGATGCAACAGACGAATTGTCAACGATTTCCTTAAACTGCACGACGAACAAGAAAAAGTTGAGGCGCATATTTCTGAAAGAGGAAAATTGTTTCAATTGTAATAGTAGCAGTAATTGAGTCATCGACGTACAGCTTAGAACGTCAACTAGATGAACGAGCTTGACAATTTCTTCAATATATGTGGACCACGCATTGCTCGTAAAAGTTTCAATTTTCCACATACAATGCAGAAAACATATTATTTTAAGGACGATGAAGCCTACACCGAGGATCACATTCTGGTGAAAAAGCTTTATATCATCAGTGTAGCTCCAGCAGTAAGTAGTAAAAACAATTCTCATTGTCATTATTGGCCCATATATCAATATATGGTTTTATATCAATGTTAAGATATCGCCCAAAAACTTGAGAGATTATTTCACCACTTTCGGAGCCGTGAAGCACTTGGAGCTGCTCACCCACTCAGCCAGTGCTTCCGGCTCCAAAGCGGCCGCTGAGAAGCTCAAATACAGAAGCGCTTTTGTTGTYTTTGACGATGCACGCAATGCTGCCAAGTGAGTACCCACATATGGCCATTCATTAACAACATTATATATCAAAATGGATGTATCCCTGATATTTCAGGACCTTGCGTCGCAAGGTGCACTATGTGAAGAACGTTCGACTTATGGTGGTGCCCAGCGATAGCTGGCATCAGCCGGACGCCTATGACATTCCATTGGCAGGCGATGATGAGCCGGCGGCTGCTATAATGAAGCTGAATGATCATTGCTTGGATCAAATATTTCGCATGTTGCCGCTGAGCGATCGCATTCATTTTGCACGCACCTGTACTCGCTTCCGTGAGATATATAAGCAGGCAGCACCAGCACTGGACAAGTCTATTAAATTTGAGGAGTTCTCTGATTTGACCATGTGGGATGTTCGTGACTTTTTCTTGTTGTCCGGCCGCCATGTTAAGGACATCGATGGTGTTATACCGCAGCGTCATCTCAAGCGTCTGGCCGAATTTCTGGGCAACAACTGCATCAACTTGACTACCTTAAAAATCTCGGTCAACAAGTTGAATCTGAACCTCATGGAGAAGATGTTCGCCAAGCTAAATAAGCTACAGACTCTACAACTACGCGGTTGCGATATAAGAAATGAGACGCTGCTCGCGCTGAAGCATTTGCCAATGCTCAAGAATCTGGATCTGTCCAACAATGAGAAATTGACTGGTCAGAATATGAATCGCTTGCCAACCACCATTGAATCTCTCACTTTGACCAGCTGCACAAGCTTGCAGGTGAAGCTGTTGAGCAGGGCTTTGAAGTCCTTGAAGCATCTGAAGGAGCTACACATTAAGGGCATTTATTCGATTGGCCCGGCTTTCAAGCAGTTGGTCGAGAGTCAGCGCCACCACACGCTGGAAGCGATGACAGTCAGCACAGGTTTCGGGTTTGGTATGGGCAACCAGTACGAGCACATTGCCAAGCTGCCACGCCTCAAGAAGGTGATTGTGTACAGCCACCAGGACGACTGCACTCTGCGTCCGGAGCTGTTGACATGGCTCGTGGAGCACAAAGCGAAGCAACTTGAGCACTTTGAGGGGCGTGGTCAGAACTGTCTTAATGCCACGATGCTGGCACAGCTGAGCAAGCTAGTCGCATTGCGTACGCTCATAATACCAGCAAATGATGCTATCGGACCTCGCGAGATGGAGGCTTTTTGCGCCCTGCAGCAGTTAGAGGAGATCAATCTGAAGTATTGCGCTAATATAACCGATCATGCTGTGCTCCTGCTGATACTCTCCTGCCCCAAGTTGCGCGTCTTGCATCTGGAGAATTGCCCACAGCTCTCTGAAAAGCTCATATCTGATATAATATTTAAGGTGCGCTTGCAAATAAGACAGAAGGAAACTAAACGTCCGTTGCCCATCAAGATCGGCTTATACGGCTGCAAAATGGATGAGCCTTTCCTGGATGGCGTACAGCAGACTGCGAAGGACATCCTCGAGGTCTCGTACAATCCGGCCAAAATCGCAGATTTCTGCTTCTTTGACCTGTCAGAACTGTTGGTCTTTGATGACGATGTGTACTTCAGATCGGACGACATCTACGATATAGTCTCCGATAATGACTTTGAGTACTACGAACAGTTCGATAATGATGAAGATGATTATGATGACTACGATGGGTTCGATGTTGGTTACGATATCGATGAAATGGATATATCAGACGTGGAAGATTACTGGGATTAGTAAGCGAATAAATATTTGATTGGAATTAGCTCATGATATAATGCTTTCTCTCGATTTCTTTGCAGATATACGAGGTGCTGTTATTTGTGAATTCGTTCACATTTTTATTTGCCAAAATAAAATACGACTTGTATTTGCCAAAATATGAATTCGGCTGACTATATAACTTAATAGAGAAATGGTTCTGTGCCAATAAAACAACTGTTTGTTACATTTTCTTTTTATTTCTTTCATTTTCAGTTAATAATTATTTAAATTTAGTTAAATAAATTTTTTTTTTGCATAGTTTATGGTGTGCTTTGTAATTGCTAAAATCCCATTTTCTAAACGCATTGAAAACCTAAAAATCGTTGTTTTTGTTTTTCTTTAACATTCGCATTGGCATTTTCATTTAGTTTTAATTGTATTGTACGTTTATTAAATAGTTTCTCATTTTGTTATTTTGATTAAGCACCAAAGTGGCTTGGCTTGGCTTGGCTTGGCTTAGCTTGGTGTTTCGGGTAGTTCTTAAACATTTAATTGACTTGCAAGGGGATAATTGCACCGAAAAATTAACAGAGAAGAGATTAAGATAAATATGTATTTAACCTAAGATAAATAATTGGATTTCGAATATATAGATGTATTAACAATTCCATAAATAGAGATATATTGATATTTATATATAGATATATGTAGATGTGTTTAAAGCACACTTCAAATATAGTAACTAACGAATAATCAACTATCAAAATAACATAAAATATATAATACTTTGTTCAATGTGAGATTGAAAAGTTTAATTAATAATAGTAGTTAAAGGCTTCGTGTTTAGCAACAACAATAAATGTTTGGAAATTTTCTTTAACATGTTCCTTTTCGCACTTTATAAGATATATACGTATTTAATAAGTAACAAATATTCTTGATGTTGTTAATTGAGATTTTAGGAATTTTGTAAAAACAATTGAGTTGCATTATTTAAGAGATATTTTGTTAGCCAAATTGGTATTAATAAATATATATATACATATATGTGTGTATATATATGTATGTATATAGACATTGAAATATTTGATTAAAAGCTGAGCAAGGAACAGGATGGTGATGGGCGGATCGGGATGGGGCAACTAGCTACGTAAAGGTATCTAAATGCTGGTGCGCTGCGGAATGCATTTTATGTGGCTAACACGAGGCACACGTATCCAATCGACACGGACGTTAAGCTAGGGCGCATTGCTCTCTACTATAATATGTTTGTATATATGTGTATATTCTGATAAATTATTGTACTCTCTTGCATATGTATGAACTATGTATGTAATTGTCCCTTTGCAATTGCCTTTGCTCTAAATGAGTATTAATGAGTTAATTTTGCTTTGAATAGATTTCGTTTGTCTTTTCGCTTTTCTTTCATTCCTCATCAATGGGCCAATTAGTAGTCGTCCTTCTGTTCCTCATCGAGCATTTCGACAAAGGCGCGCGGGACCAAGCCCTTCATCAGACCCTGCTTACCGTACATGTAATCCTCATTGACCGGCGAGCATTCGGTAACAAAGATGACCTGCGAGAGTGAAGAACAAATATCAATACAGCTGGACAAGATCTGGCATACAATATAAATAATGGGCTGCTTACCTCGTTGGCGCTCAGATTCAATTCGGTGTGATCCTTGGCATCGTAGGAACACAGGACACGCGCGCGCTGCATTTGATCCGTGCTCACGTTCAATTGCATGGACTGATTGGCTTTTTGCTGACTGTTATTGCCAGGATTGCGTGCTCCAACGCCCATGCCGCCGGCGGCACTGGACTTGGTGGCATCCAGTAGATCGATCGGTGTGTAGGGCGTCGGGCCTCCCAAGCTGATGGAAGACGCAGAGGCAGAGAGTAGAGTTTAAATGGCTTGAGTGTGAATGAAGTTGATGTTGGAAGTTTTGGATAGGTGGATAGGTGGAGCTACAATTGAAACCGCTTAACAGCAACCGCAACCGCAATCGCAACAGAAACAGAAGCAACAAGGAGACTACAAATGGACGACTAGATAAGTCTCGTTTCAATAGAACAACCAATACAAAAAGTTTAGCCTAATATTAAACATATGTATATATGTATATGCGTATACGTATATGTGTGTTAACCCGTTTCCAAAATTTTGATTCAAGACTTGTTTATCATTTCAGATGAATGAAATTAAATTAAACTGTGCTTATGGCGCTCGTATCGAACTCTATCTCAAAGTCTTCCAGCAGATGGGTGAGCGCCTTGACCGGACCAATGTCAATRCTCTTAAAGCCCGACTCAATATCAATATCAATATCCTGCCCATTATCAAAATCGTAATCGCTATCTATGGCCTTGGCCAGTGCAATGGAACTGGCTTCACTGGAATCACATGAATGCGCCGAAGCAATGCTGGGAGGCCCGTCCACATCTTCGCTATTGATGCGCAGGCGAGGCTTCGCTGGCTGCATTCTGTAAGACCACAAAACAACAACAAAAATACCGAAAGGTCAACAACAACAAAAAGCAAACACCACAGACAGACATACATATAGATTGCCAAAGTGCAAGAGATCAATTTTTGTTTTGGTAAAGTGCCGCCTACAAACAGGTACACAGGTACTCAGGTACTCTGGTATCAGATAATCAGATAATCAGCTATGCAAACAAATAACTAGTACAAATAATTAACTAATCTGTGAACAGCTTCTACAGCTGCTCTGGCTGCTCTCCACTTACTTGGCCAACTCGCGCTGCAGCTGGTCCATAACGTCGCCGCATTGCTTGTAGTATCGCACCTGCGTCTGCACGAAGGCGTGCAGATGACGCAAGTGCGACGCCTGCGAGGTGCTAATCCCGTCCAGCAACAGCTTGGTGATCTCCGCCTGCCTGTCGAACTCGGCCTGAGCCACGCGCAGATCGCGCTCCGCCTGCGCAAGAAGAAATTTATATATATTAGCACATATAATAGATAAGTCTCAAATGAAACCAAGAGATATAATAAAATGTGAGCTTAAGGGAGGCGCCTCAGTGGGCGATACCTGTTCCAAGGCAGCTTCTGGCGAAATGCCATCTTTCTATAAATCACAAACAACACATTCCGCACAGAGTAAAAGCAGCACAAATGTAAAAGCAGAGGCGAAAATCCATAAATCAACTTAATGCGACAATTCCGCTAGCCAAGTGGAGCAGTGGAGTCTACTCACCGACTGCTGGCCCAGCATGCTGCGCGCCTTCTTCACCCGGTTCTTGCACGCATCCAGGTCCAAGCTGCAAAATTACCATTATATATTACAAKTACGTATATMYGTCATCTAAAAGRCTGGCTTACCGCTTGGTCTCCARCAGCCCGCGCTCCTTGCTAATGGTCTTCATTTCGCCCTCGAGGAACTTGCGCAACGGTTGCGTGAAGCAAATACCCGATGTGGCTATGAAGTCATGTTCGCACTGGCCCAGCTTCTGCTCCGCCTGGCCCACTTTGATGAGCGCCTGGCCGTAGGGCAGGTCCTGGCCAAAGTCGCCGCCGGCCTCGATCATGTCCAGCGCCAGGTGCTCCAGATTGCTTAAGCGCTTCGGCTTCGTTTTCTCAATCTTTTCGAAAATATAGTCCTCAACACGATTCTGTGGATTGGGTATGAGCACCGATTCGGTGTCGCGCACTATTTTCTCAGTCCATGATTTGGTGACATCGGCGCGTTCGGCCAGATTTTGAAAGTGTATATCGTATTCGGTGCGCTCGGTGGTGCCCAATTTCTCCTCGGTGAGCTGCATAAAAGGGCAAGGGTAAACGCAAAAAGTCAATCGCGTGCGCAAGGCTGCCCACCCTACCCCCACCACTTTCCTTTCCTTACGTTGCCCAACCAACGCTACCCACACCCCCACAGGCCGAGGCCGAGGCTCAGGCCCAGGCCCAGGCCTCCAGCTAGATGTGATTGCCTAAGCATTTACCTGCACCACGCGCGATATTGTGCTGCCCGCCTCTTTCACCAGGCTCTTCATGTTGAAATTTGACAGGTTTATGTTCATTTTGAGTTGCAATTAACTTAATTGAATTAGAAATTTATTTTGCTGGCCAATTCTTGTTTGTATTTATCAATAGTCTAATAAGAAACTGGGATGCAAAGCAATCGATTGTACTTCAATGTGTGCGTGAGTCTGTGCAACTATCGATAGCACTACCAAATATTTTCCGCACAGCTATCGACTGTAATTTTTTGGCATCAAAAGCTCCGCGCTATCAGATTTCAAATAAATATTAAATCGGTGTTTCACATGTGTTACGTTAAATTAGTTTTAATTCTTAATAATAATAATATTCTTAAGTTACGATTACAAAATATCAATTGATTTGCTTCCAAAAGCCACCGCAGTGGCAATGTAACCATTTGTTGCACCACGCCTTCAACGCAGACGTTTTGGCCACTTTGTTCGCGCTATTCACAAATCCACAGCGGGCGCATCTCCTTATTGTGCTGGGATTAGCACCCAACTGCAAATTGCTGACACCATCCTTGATAAAATGGGCGAAGACGACCTGCTCCATTTCGATTTCCTGCAATCCGACGGGCTCCACCAGTGAGGTGAACGTTAGTTGTCCAGATTTCACAGCCGCATAGCCCTGGGCGCTGAGCAGCGTTGTTGGATTGTGTCTGGACGGCTGTGGGATGAGCAGCTGCTTGGACAGCAGGCTGCATTCATCCAGCAGCAGTTCGTCCGGCTCCGCTGGATTCTGGGCCAGTCGTGTTAGCAGCCTGAACAAAATGGCCAGCACATCGATGTTGTCCATTGTCTTAGTATACACGGGCAGACACTGCGGATTGAGAAGTCCCCAAATGCGGATCATGACAAGCAGCTCGCGCAGACTGCTAATGGCGACGATGTCGCGACTGATGTCGTAACTAGCACGTTTGCCAGACAACTTGCTCTTCATCACCTCCTCGGGCAGGCGATTGAGCATATTGAGCGCCAGATCTGTGACCCATTGGATGAGCTGCTGCAGACTCTGCAGCATCATGGGCTCGACAGTAAAGTCCTTAGCATCCAGATTAAGCAACACCGTGTCCACATCCGGCACCGACTCCGCCAGTTTCATGGCCAAATTATCCGCCGGCCCCTTGTCCTGACAGCCCAAGTCCGACGGCCGCAGCAGACTCTTAAACGTGCTCGAGATGGCGTGCAAAATGATGAGATTATCGAACTCCTGCTGTTGGGCCCGGCACAGATTGCTTTTCAGAGCCAGGAAGTTCGCATAGTAAAATTGACGCACGTACGACGGCTGACGCGTAAAGTTGTCCGTCAGCTTGTCCACGAGCGCCTCCAGATTGCCSAGATTGAGCAGCAGYACGTCGCTGGCGTCCACGCCCGTCACAATGCAATACTCGAGCAGCAGCAACAGCAGCTGCATGGTGTTCGTATGCTGCTTCAGCATGGGCGTTTGCATGGCGTGCAGCTGGGCGTGGCTGTCGAAGATGATGAGCATTTGGCTGGTGGGAGTCAAGTCGCCGCAAATGAATCGCGTCTCCGCATCGTGCTCAAATTGCGTGTGATTCAGCTGCTTCAGTGTGCCCGGCTCCAGGACCTGCACGCTGTTATCCTGCAATATGGCGAACAGCTGCTCACAATCCGCGGCGATTAGCCGGCTGCTGCACAGCTGCGAGATTTGGGCGCTCAGCTGCAGCTTGGCCACCTGCTCCCAGCTCTCACTAGGCACGTAGTCCACGGGCTTGCTGCCGGCGGCCGGCCCAGTCGCCGACTGCTGCAGCAGGGCGTGCACACTCTGATGGCGCCGTGTCAGAGTCCATTGCTCCAGCAGACTGGCGCTGTCACCCACGTTGAAGACCACGTAGATGACGTCCTCATTGCCCACTCGCGTCCACAGCAGTTGCGCAATGCGCTTGCTCTCCAGCGTTGCCGACGGCAATGTGTTCAAGAAAATGCTGGCCAGCGACTCGGATTTGATGACGATGCGCTCGCCCTCCAGCTGCAGCGAGACCTGGACATATGGCAATGGTTAATAAATATTAAAGGCTACACATTAATGCCGCAATCCTTACTTTGTAACAGTAGACCAGCTGCTGCTGCTGTTGCTGCTGCCAGCCTGTGCTGTAGGCAATGTTTAGTGCTCCGCTGGCGCTGGCCACAATGCTGCAGTGTTCGATGTAGCTGCGCGAGATGCCAATGCTGTGGGACACAGGAAATAACTCTACCTGCTCGCTGCTCGCATTGTTAAGTGGCGTCGGCTCCTGTGCCTGGCCGCCGCTGTTGCTGGTGTTGTTGATGGCTAGCTTTTGGAGCTGGGGCAGCGTGAAGGCGGCTAACAAGCCGGAGGAAGTGAGCAGTATGCAGCCTTCGGTCGCAACGCCGCCAAAACCGGTTAGCGTGGGCCGCTGTTCAAGCCTCTCGAATTTCTCTCCGTAGTAGGTGTGATCTTTTTTCTGGGTATTGAATACGACGCCTTTGCCATTGTGGAAGAACTTCGCCTGAATGATGTCCTCGCTCGGAATGTTGGCATGGAACTGCAGTTGCCAGACGTTCAGTGACTGCTCCTTGGGCTGCCAGATCTCCACACGGCCGCCAATGTAGCCCAGCAGCAGCTGCTCGCCGTTCGCATTCCACTCCAGCACATTGATTAATGACTTCGAATTGCACACTTTGTAGTACTGCCAGGGCGTCACAATGTCACAGACATAGACGTGACTGGAGAGGTTCTGCAGGGCGCTGAATGCAATTATGTTGCGTGCGGAGACGGCGCACAGAACCACCTTGTGTGGGAAGACGTTAGCTTCTTTGGCATTTCCAAACTCACGCCGACTCTCAACTTTATACAAAATTGTCATTTTGTTTACTTTTATTCTCCAGTAAAAGCGGTACAATGCTAGTGCGGAGCAATAAAATAATCGATATTTTTTCCATTTGTGTGAATAGCGATATTTCTTATGCCTTGCTACCCAGTAAACAAAAATGTGCAGCATTCGGCATTCCGACAATTCAATCGATAGGTCTGGTGTATAGATTTTATTTAATCAAATAATATTATATATAAAATCGTATGAAGTTACATTTTTTCCCAGCTAAATTCCTTTTTTTTTCTTGTATAATTATATGAGGGACATACATCTCTATTACATATAAACTTGCCTGATAACAGTTTTGCAGACATTTACAGTGAATGGCAAACTTCGAATGTTACATTCAAATACACTCATAACCGTACAACACATATGTGGCTGGTGATAAAATGTAATTTTAATTAATTTACATAAACAGATGGCAATCATATGTTGTGCTTGGCCGCTTCCTGTAACATTTCGTATCGTTATATTTTTTGATGATTGCGCGCGTGTTTTACAATCGTCAGCTAGCAGGTGAGAAACCGGCTTCGAGTCTGTTTGATATGAATATCTTTTGTATTGTTTTTTTGTTTCTTTTTCTCTTTTCACAGTTTATTGAACTCAATCGCTCGTACATTAACTTAAAGGCAATAAATACACAATGATTACGAATTAAATGATCTAAACCGACTGTAACTAAACTAGATTCACATAACGCAGCCCCTTCAGCAAGCAGCCGCTGAAGCTGTCACCGTCGATGAAGTGAATCCCATCCACCAGGCAGGATTGCAGGCTGCAAGGATACTCGGCACCGTAAGCGCTGCTCTCCCAGCGTAATTGCAGCACGTAATGCACCTCCGGTGTCAGGACGCAGGCCTCGTCGCGACTCCAGCTCAGGTGCAAATCACAATTGTATTTCGTTGTTTGATTCTGGATGATGTGAGTCCACACTGGCTGGTCGCCGCCATCGGGATACAGATCAATGCGCAGAGATTCGCGATACTCTTGCGGCACATAGCCCACATGGCAGGTGAGATTGGGTGCCAGCCGGCTGTTAAGCACCAACCCCAGCACAGAGATGAATCTGGAGGATTTCAAGCCCAGCCGCCAGACATGCGACTCGGCATCAACGGTGAATGGGCGGCAGGCCTTGTAGTAGCAGCGCTCGACGAGCGTGGCAGGTGGCGTGGGTGCTGCGCTGTCGGCTAGATCCGCAGATCCCGAGACCTGCTGCCAGTTGGCGGCATCTCCGAGCTCTGCATCGTCGCACTCCTGCTGCGTCCACTCATAGACATACCAGAGTAGCAGCTTGTGCGGCTCCTTGCATGCAGCAATGATGCTCTTGACGCACTCCTTGGACACGTGCACATAGTGCTCCTTCAGATAGCTCATGTACTGATCGTTGTTCACACAGCAGCGCATGAAGAACGACATGCAGACGTCCAACAAACTGTCCAGTCCCATGCAGACGCTCAGCTCCAGCGCCGGCAGGACGTTGGAGAAGCGCAGTTTGCGCGTTATAGCGAGCAGAGCATCTGCTATGAGCTGATCCAGCAGATATTTCTCGGCGGCATAGTACAACTCGATGGCCGCCTCCAACTGCATGCACTCATAGTCCACGCTGCCTGTGTAGATGTACTCCAGCAGAACTTTGAAGATTGGCGCACTGATGTCATGTATCTCGATCTCGGGCTCCAGCTCCTGCAGCGGCCCATAGAACATGGCCTCGAAGACCGGACTGGCGGCGCTTAGGATCAGCTTGTGTCCCTTCAGCTGCTGCTCGCACACATGGAACACACAGTCCGTGTGCTTCTCGGCATGCAGCAGCTCTGCATATCGCCTGCCCAACAGACTGCCCACGGTCGCCTGCTCCTTGCGCTGCGCCACGGCCAGTTCCAAAGCTGCGCCGCCGCTCATCTGTAAGCAGAAGGCATGTATGTATGTAAATATATTTAAATAATTGCGTTTTTAGCAAGACCTATAAGCCGGTTCTATTCTATCCCAATACATCATCAATCACTATCGATCTTGAGCTTCGCCTTTCCCTTAGTTTGCAACGCAAATCAGGCATAGCCGACACGTGCCTGAAGAAATTAAAAATTATTCATGAGATATCTAGACGGCTATGTATAGTTTCGCAAATTTAAAATAATAACCTAGATAACCTATTTTTGAATATAATCATCATGTGATCTTTAATTTCATGTGAGGCATATTAAGTTACTATTATTAATATATTAGAAATTGCTAAATAATTTCAATACATATCTCCCGTCTATTAACCAGCATAGCATATTAGATTAAATTTCGGTAACGGTATAAATTACTGTTATATATTTAAATAATAAAATAATATTTAATAGGGTTCATAAAATATTGTTATGCATTTCCTCTTTCTTGTATGAGTTATTTTCTTAACAATCATAAAAAATCTGTTAATCGTTCAATAAGCTGAGCTGTGGATTCATATCTCATAATGCACATCTCTCATTTATTAAACAATCCCTATCTATAAAATATTGGTTATATTATGACTCAATGCTTGCTAGTAGTAGTAGTAAAATAACTAATAATATTACGTTATCCTTTGTTTGTATTTTGTTATTCAACTGCACAAGACTAGCATAGAATCTGTAAATCACTTGATATGCTCACTTATACGAAATTCGTGTCCATACTATCTAAAGATCTTTAAATGAACTATCACGCCCACAATAATTGAAATCTTCCGGAAGATTATGAATGTTATCTTTAAATCTTTTGATATTCCCAAGTATTGAATATAAATGATAAGATATCTGCTTTTATCGTTCCATGAACAAACTTTCACATTATCTTGAATTATTTTGATCAAGTAGCATAGAGAAATTATTTTTAAAATGTAGTTTTCTACTTTTTAATTTCGTTCACATAGCCAACAATTCATTTTGTTTCCAGGTAATGTTCTGAATATAGGTATATATATGCATTGCCCACAAACCTAATCCGTTTCTCTTGATAAGAATTGCCACTTGGAAATAAATCAATTTTTATTGCTACTCAGAATTCATGACGTAAGCGCTGGCGAAATTCCTATAGAGACTATGAGCCAGTCAAAGCATACATCTGTCTATACTATATATACTTTGTTTATCAACGACAAACATAGATATAAATATATAAAGATGTATGTATATACTATATACGTATACTAATATATTTGCGTTCTATCAATATAAAGCCGGCATGTCGAGCCCATTGCTCGTGCGTTAATTTATGTGTGTGTTTGTTGGGATAGTGTGTGATTCTCATTATTTATATTTTGCGCATGGACAACAAATAACCGGTTTAAAGTGTTTACATAGATCTCAAAGCCAGACATATGTCGATGCGAAAACAGTGCACTTTACAAAATACAATATTATTATATATCAATTGAATATTACATTGTAATTAAATATGCTATATGCATAGAAATTGGAATTTTTTGTTTATATAGTTATAAGTTTATATGTATGTATACGAAATTGTCAAAAGAACTGATGGGATGTGTATGGGTAGGGTATTGCAGTAATATATGGACAGCATATATTCCGTACGTAGATTTTATTAAAGTGATCGATTGTCGCTCCATCCGAGGAATTGCAATGTTTACCTTTGGTTTTTCTCGTATAAATATTTCACCGATTTATGATAGCTAGTGCGCGAATCGTTTTTATTTAAATCTCTCTGAGAATCGATTTACGATCGCGATTCGTGATTCGTGGGTCGTAATTCGCAGCTGTGAGCTTTACATAAGCACTTTTGTTGTTATTATTTTTCCTTTGCCTATTATAATATTTATTTTTATGATTTTTCTCGCGACCTTTGAATTATATATTTATTTTGTTGATAATTCTCGGTGAACACTAAAATGCACACCTTTTATGTGCGCCTAATATTTGGCACTTTGACAAGTTCTTGAGTATTTATAATATAATTAGGCACACTGAACACTTTTATTTTACTTTTTGCAATACAAGTGAAACGACAAAAATGGCAAATTTCATTGAAGTTCGGACGACCTAAAACCCAATTATTTTGTTTGAAAAGGAGCTGAACTTGACCGCTTTGCCATCTGCTATTACAAGCAGTGCTGTGAGAGCTCTGGTAGAGGCACGAACCGTTCAGCGCAAAGCGCCACCTTCAACTGATCAAGTGCAAACGAAACTCTATTGCTTGACGCTCTCTGGAACGGAGCTCTCTTTACTTGCTCACGTTCTTGGTCTTGCTCTGTCTTCCAATGTTCTGTTATGCGACTCTCTCACGCTCGCCATCTCCATCGATTGGCAAGCAGAACTGTTTCTCTCTCTGGAAATAATTTGTGCGCGAGGCTGTAGCTTTGGCTGCTTGGGTTCCAGGCCGTTGCTACTTGAGCCTCGAGCCGCTCTCTCTCATTCTGTCTCGCTCTATTGAATACTGCTTGGGGGCTCGTTCGTATCTCTCTCTGCCTCCCTAGCTCTCTATTGTAATCTTTATGAGGTATGGGAGAAGTGCGTGTGTTTGTGTGTTCATCCAACATCCAGTTAAGATTACAAATTAAACCTTTTTGTGTTGCCAATGATTGGCGTTGCCGAGGCGCAGCCTTGAACCCTTCATAGCCTCTTCGGCAGCCAAAGTTATTTCTGTAACTCATATAAAAGCACACTACAATCATTGAGGTATATTGAAATGATGGCAAATGTTGCAACAAAATGATAATAGAGATAACGAATTGTTAAGTAATAAATATATTATAATTAGCAGCGAAATATAAATCTTTTAACTCATTTGATTACGCTCTGAGGAATATAGCCGAGGCAAATTTAAAATATTCACATAAATTATGAATTAATTAAGTTGTAATTAACTATGTATTACAGCTATATACATATACGTTTATATATATATCTGTATTTTTGTCATTTTATTATATAATTATCTATTAATTTGTGATTTAATTATATGTATTCACAAACATTTGTTTGTAAGAGCACTCATAATTCGACTTGGCCGCATGCATTTCTGCCACTCGTTTTGTTCCTACCTGCTGGAGGCAGATGCTTTGCCATGGCTTTTGACTTAGGCAATTGGCTTTACAAACTGGTATATGAAATCGACAGTGCACGGGGCCGGTCCTCGGCCTACAAGTGTTTGCGTCGTGCTCTGCCCTTCTCGTAACACATGCTGGTCGTAAAAACGAATGCCTCAAATAGATGAGAGCAGAAGTGGACTCTATATACATACATAGACATATACATACATATATGACGTTCATCCTGTTTAATTATACGCATTAACTATAAAATATATTACATGTTAACTCAAATTGAATGCCTAAACGCAGCCAACGAATTTAAGGGGTTTGCAGGAAACAGTTAAGTCAGAAGTTGAACGCAGATTTCAAGGATAGCAATAGCTTAGGATCATACATACATAATTGTATATATAGATATATATAGTTAAATATGCTATATTCAATTTTGTAGTGTGTGTGTGTGTTGTATGGCTCGTGCCAGCGCTTAGATAATATCACGTGGTACACTCAAGAAGTGTATGGAATTGGACACATGGTGCGTGATGTCCGTCAGCGTCTCCTTGTGAACGCCCCCGAACAGGATCAGCTCTCCGTTGCCCGCTATCAGGCTGGACAGTATCAATCGATCGGGTGCTCCGCTCAGCACTCCAAAATTCTTGTATTCCACCCAATCCAGGCCTGGCTCATTGTTCGCATCCCGCTGCAACAGGCTCGAGATGTCGCACACGAACAGCGACTGGACATTGCAACGGACACGCTTGGGCGAAGGTGCGCGCAGCTTTTGTGGCTCTACGTGGGCGGGTGCACTGCGTCGCGAATTCCTTATGGCGTTCATTTTCTCTTCCATGCGCCGTATGCGCTCGCTATGATCCCGCGAAGCGCTGCGCGAACGCCCCGGCACATTGAAGGCGGCCATCCGAAACGGATCCTAAGAAAAGGCAATTCGAAATGAAAAGAATACTATATAATTATATAATATATTTACCTCATAGTGCTCGTCAAAGCGCTTGGGCAGCAGCGGCTCGTTGTCGCGGCAACGCAGAGCCAGGTTACGTTGTAATCGCTGCGCTGCATCCGCGTCACCATCCGCTGCAGCAGGAGCAGCAGCTGGCGCTGCGGCTGACGCCGCTGCAGGCGGTGAATGCAAGTCGCTGAGGCGACCAGAGCGCGGCTGATAGTTATTGTTGTTRTTGTTGACGTTGTTATTGTGCATAAATTGCTGGGCCTGCTGCATGTTCTGATCCAGTATGGCCCGCCTGTTGGCCAGGTACTGTTCCTGCGGGGGCAAGGCAGCCCCACCAAAGCGTCCATTGCCACGATGCTGTTGGTCGGGCAAGAGAGCGCCAGGGCGCCGCTCTGGCAGCGGAGCACGCTGACCAGGACGAAGTTGCGGCTGCAGCGGGTGTTGTTGTTGGTAGAGTGGCGGAGGCGGCGCCGGCGCTTGACCCAGTCCACCGAAACGCAAGGCGCTGCCACCAACAACGGGCACACGACTCTGCTTCATGATTTGGAAATCCAAAGGCATTTTGGGCGAAGGGCCCACCACAACCAAAAAGTTATTGACTCTGCAGCCAGGATTGCACCACATGTGGACGGCACCAAAATGTTTGTTGCGCACACTGACCTGCTTCCAGCTCCACGCCTCGCGCGACATGTCCAGCAGCCAGGCATCAGTGTAAACTCTGTTGGCGCCGCCGCAACCGCCAACGATCAGCAAATGATGCTTGTCCAACTCCACCTGGATTTGACCGTATCGCGGCGCAGGTCGCGTGTTGCCAACAAATATCGGCTGCCACCAACGCTGCTCCTCCAGATCCAACACCCAGGTATCATTGGAGTTCACATTGATGTCGTCCTTGATTTGATAGCCACCAAACACAATCATGCAATTGCCATGTACCGTAGCCGAGTGCCCCGCCATAGGTGGCGGGCAGGGCAGCGAGTTACGGGCCAGCCAACGGTCCTTGACCAGATCGTAGTAGTGCAGCTCGTCGAACAGGCACCACGGCTGATAGGGCGGGTGTAATGAGGGATAACGCCAGCCGCCAAACAGCACTAGTTTATCCCGCCAGGCCACCATGGAGGCACTCCCTTTGGGAGATGGATAGGTGCCCGTGGCCAGGGGACGCGACCAGCGCATATGCGTTAAGTCGAATCGCCAAAGATCATTAAAGGTCGTGTCCGAAGACGAACCGCCGCCAAACACATACATGGAGTTGCCCAATCGCACAGTCGAGTGGGCAAAGCGCCCTGCTATGATGGGCAGGGGAGCGCCCGTTGACAGGCGCGGATTATTCGCCTCCAAGGAAGCAGCGGTTTGTTGCGAATAGATCTCCCAGCGAAGTCGAAAGTCTGCTAACCCTTTTTCCAAATTTAGCTGTGAGCGCCGCACAAGATCTGCAAGATTAAAGTATTTTGGGATATTTGATAATATTGCTATTGCTTGCACCCACTTTTCACAATTAGTTGCCATCGCTTGCAGACCAGGCTGCAGTGCTCCAGATCTCCATAGGGCGGCAAATATGTGAAGATGAACTCCAGAATTTCGTCGGGCAGGACGTTGAGGCTGACAGAGGGCGGAGCACATTTGGTAAGACATGTTGTTGTTGTCGTTGTGACATTGTCACAGTTGTCACTTAGATTGCGATTGCACGTGGCCATTGTGTGTTGCATCCTGTCCTTGCCTCCTTTGTTGTCCTTCACCTTCAAGTGCAGCTTCGAGCCTAACACAGCAACGTAGCTCGCTGCTCGTAACTCACACTGCGCAGTTAGTATCTATTGCTAATGGCTTTGACCCTCAGAAGCACAAAGCGTTGCCTACGCACACCCCTCTTATGTTTTAAAGGTTTTTTTTAACGCAATTTTTTGCCCAAAAAACTGTAAACAGCAGCAGCTGCTGGTGATGGCAATCGTCTTCAAATCGCTATCGTGCAGACGTGACTAGCATGTATCGATAATGACCATATGTTAATTGATATCGGAAAAGAATCGATAGAGTTGAAAATACTTTTGCTCAGTGGCGCGTATTGTTTTATTTGATGGCTCTTAAATAACATCTTAATTTATATGAAATAATCTAAATATGCACATCATGGTACTAATTTAAGGTAACGATTCAAGTGAAAAATTATACAAAAATAAAAAAAAACTTGAAAATGAAGTAGGCCAACTCATGAATCTATACTACGGCGCCTAGCAATGGGAACATTTCACACTTAAAACTTTAACACTTCAATTAAGTTCATTATACACATACATAAAAAAAAAAAAAACAAAAAACGTTAAAATGGCTTTTCATTTTATATCAACCATGGAAAAACCGATGCAGCACGTCTCGTTGTTCGATTGGCAAAGTCGGCTCGATCGTCTCCGAAATGTTGCAAATGCCCGACGTGCTGATGCCTTTGCCGACCGTAATTTATCCAGGGTGCTACGCAATGAGTCGCGTATTGAGGGCGAATGGGCCAACTACGCATCGAATCATGCATTGGATTTACGGTAAGCTAAGCGACGYACTTGACCTGCSGCTGCCAGGTGCTAAGATAACATTTGTTTTCGCGCAGCATTTTTGAAATTAAGACATGGCATGAGTTAATCACCAAATCGTTTGATCGCATGGTGAAGGAAGTCGATCTGCTGGTAAAGGAAAGGGCGGCAGCAGAGACGGACTTGGAGTGGCAGGCTGGTCCTGTAGCTGTCATCAGAGAGTTGTTGTTTATCCGCGATGATCGCAACGAATCAGAGCTATCAGCCGATTCCGTCAGCACAGAGTTACATAATCAATTTTTTATATTAGAGAACAATCATCAGTTGCTGGCAAGGCTCATCCAAACCGCATGGGAAAAGCTGGCGCGTCTTGACGTAGTGCGCTTCAAGGTGGAGCAAGAGCTGAAGAATAAAATGGAAACCGTTGAAATTGACACAGCACAGCGGTCTCTGACTTGCAAGTCGAACGCTATTTCCTTCAAGCTGGACGCCTTGCGGGACCCCAAAGAGTAAGTGTGGCTTCCGTTCAATTCGATGCGATGTCTAATTGTGCTCCTTACAGGTCCCGTTCCTATGAGAATTGGCTGGAGTCTACTAAAAATTTAAAGCAAATGGTAGATAATGAAGTAGAAGAAACAGTCGGCATACGGGAATCGCTTTACGTGTGTCGCAACAAGGCTCTCAGCATTTTGAAAGGCCAGGACCAATATACGGAATTCTATATACGTAATCGTATTTTTCAAACCCAACAGGCTTACAACGAGCTCAACTGGCAGCGCTCGAAATTGGTAGAGGACATTAGGGCATTAACGTGCGAGATACAAGATATGGAGGATGCGTTACTTGAAAATACAAACGCTCTGAAGTTGGCCGAGACACGTTTGGAAAATCGTAACCAGCGCAACATCACAGAGCTTTGTTTAGACGAAGCATACGATTCCCTATGTCTGGAGGCTGAAAAATTAAGGGAGATCCGGCGTTGTCTTATGAGAAAGCTCGATGAATCAAAAGCTAATTTGAATCTGATATCGGATCATACAAATAAGGTCGACCTTGATATCGGTAAAAAGAAGCACAGTATTATGATTGACACAAAGGCACTCGAGGTGTGCAAAGCCTTCAGGGTAAAGGATGCTGGCATTCCCGAGCACAATCCATTTGCCCAAACAGATCTAAACATCGAACTGACACACGCAGAGGACATTACAGAAAAGAACTGAGCAGCTCCCTAAGGGTTTTCCATTTATTCTACTTATCAATAAAATACCGGCTTAAATAAATATACGCTCGTTTTCATTTAGGTCCGCCGAGTCGCCAATATATTGTATTGAGAATATGCTTCGCTTTTAACGCCTAGCAACTGTTTTCTATGCTATCGTTGCCATTAACAATAGTCGACAAGCTATACCTAACTGATCTAGTAGCCACAGCATAAACAAATTAGAACTCGTACAAGGCGTAGCTTAAAAATATAATATATTCATTCCCGTCGGACATCATAAAGAACACTAACAAAATCAAACCCAAACATAAGAAAATATATAAAACATACGAAAATACACACTATCATACACAAACTATCTACATTACATTATATGAATAGATATAGAAATTGTTAAACACAGATACACATTACATACGCCAAGATGTCGTTCAAATCGGTGGTCACCATGGAAAAGCCCCTGGCGCACATCTCGCTGGCCGACTGGAAGTACCGCGTCGGCTGTCTCAGCAGAGTGGCCAATGCTCGACTAGCAGACACCGCGGTCATACGCAGAACGTCTCGCATATTGCAAAACGAGACGCAGATCGAGCAGAAATGGGCGACCCATGACTCGAACCAAGCAATGACTGAGCGGTAAGTGGAACGAGATGTTGCGAATCTGGCGAGACTTTAAAATTTCCTTATACTTTCAGCATTGCCGAACTGGATAACTGGTATGCAATCATTTCGAAGTCGGCCGAGCGGATCGATAACGAGATCAAGCTATTGCAGATGGAGAAGACTTTGACCGAGCGCGAATTGGATGCGCTCGCTGAGCCCATCGCTGTGATCAGCGACATGATCTCTAGCCGAGATAGTCGACTCGGCTCCGAGATGACGTACGATGAGCCGGATTTGGAGATAAAAAACGAGCTGATCATCATGGAGAACAATCAGGAATTGTTGGCAAAGTGTTGTAAGACGGCTTGGGAGAAGATGAACGTGCTTGCCGATGTACGCACCAAGATAAACATTGAGCTTGAAGATAAAACAGAGGCAGCCCTCTTGGATAAAGCGCAGCGAGAGCTAGATTCGAATTCAACTTATATATCCCATAAGCCGGATCCGAGGCGGTTGCCCAAAAAGTGAGCAGTATTCCAAATTCTTCAGGTTTAAACCTGATTTCCTACTCTCTTCTTTTCAGCTTTTACTCTTACCAGAGCTGGTTGGATCATACCAAGAGCATTAAGCGCATGGCCGAGAACGAGCTGGCAGACACAACTGCAATGCGGGAGTCGTTATTCGTTTGCCGTCAGAAGGCAATTACTCTACTGCAAGCCCAACAGGAGCGCACTGAGTACATCATCCGGAAACGCATATTCGAGACTCAGCAGGCACGTAACGAGCTGGACTTTCAGTTGACCAAGATGAAAGACGGCATGCAGGCTGCTCTGAAGGATATTGAGGAGTTGGAAAATTCGCTGCAGGAAAAGACAAACAGCTTAAAGCTGGCCGAGACCCGCCTCGAGAATCGTGCACAGCGGCGCAATGCAGAGCTCTGCCTGGATACGCCCTATGACGTGCTTTGTGTAGAGGTGGAGAAACAACTCGAGATCCGTCGTTGTCTTCAGGAAAAAATGGATGAGACTAGAGCTAACTTCAATCTGCTGGGCCAACATACCCAAAAAATTACTGTGGATCTAGAAAAGAAAGATCACGCGCTAATGACCGACAAGCGGACGCTTGCCATACGGCAGGCATTCAAAGACAGGCAAAAGGGAACGGACGTGATTAATCCGTGTGCCCAAACTGATTATAATATTCAAATCACAAATACCCAGGACATTATTCCCAAGACGTAAATGTGTGTTGACTATACTCTGACGGACAGCACCAACAAGCCGAATATGTTTAGACAGCTAAAATCATTATAAATTATCTTTTATACCAATCAAAAACAATCATTGTCAAAGGGATTTACAATTGGAAAATTCAACATTAAGGACGTTCCTTGAATGCTCTCATAAAACTCTTGTACTTTTGTAATGCTTTGACTAATTTCTACTCAATAAATACTACACAACCCCAACTAGAATGTTATATTGCTTGGTAACACACCGATGGATCAAAGATCCTCATGGTAACCCCTGTAAAGTTCCGATAAATTTAATCAATAACAACTGTTTATACTCATTCACGAAGTGAAAGGAGTGTATTTGTTTTGTGCAAATCATTTTGACCCTGACACGTGTACAAGGAGTGTTATGAATCGAGAAATATTAGTATCCTATTCAGATATTAAATATCCTACTTTGAAAATATAAATATCTACGTCAAATGAAAAAGTGCGAAACCGGTACAAATTATATATAATGCTCTAGGTAAAAGCTTTCAAATCGGAGACATTTAAATAACTGAAAATTCCTTGCTGCTTTACCAATAAAGAATCGACTAATTTTGGACTGTAGTGAGCATTGTGCAGTCGGTAGCGCCCAACGGGGCAGTTCCTACTTGTTTAAATATTACATCAATTCTAATTATTGCCTAGCAGCTAGCTTGAAAACTTGATACCTTGGTGATCTAGTAGACATGGCATAAACAAAATTCTTTAGCTGTGAAGTACAGAAATTCCATTAGTTTCAGTTGTGAGTTATAGTTGTGAACACGGATTTCGTTTCAATAAAAACTATAGTATAGATATTATATATAAATTTCGAAAGGAATACATACAGTGTACTTAAGATGGCTTTTCAATCGGTGACGACTTTGGAGAAACCAGTGCCGCATCTTTCGCTGGCTGACTGGAATGCACGCGTGGGTCGTCTTCGAACCGTGGCAGATGCTCGACGTGCTGATGCATTCGCTTTGAGGCATTCGGCTCGATCGCTGCGCAACGAGACTCGTATTGAGAGCGAGTGGGCGAACTATGAAACGAACGAGGCTCTGAGGGATCGGTGAGCTGGGAGTGGGGTATTCTATAGGTAGTTTTCTCGTAACCTTTGAATGATTCCACAGCATTGACCAGCTGAATAGTTGGCGCGACATCATATCCAAGACGTTTGATCGCATCGAACTCGAGATTAAATTACTGCAGGACGAGAAAATATTGACGGAGCGTGAGCTGGACGCGCTGGCTGGCCCCATTTCGGTCATAAGTGAGGTGCTCACTATGCGTGACAGTCGCTTGGGCTCGGAGATGACGTACGACGAGCCRGACAACGAGGTCAAGAACGAATTGATGGTATTGGAGAACAATCAGCGATTGTTGGCCGATCGATGCCAAAAGGCATGGGAGAAGCTGTCACGCCTGGAGGACATTCGCTACAAGATTGGCATGGAGATTGAGAACAAGGTTGAGGCAGTGGAGCTGGACTTTTTGCAACTGGCACTTGATCGTTATTCTTCTAGCTTATCCTATAAGCCAGATCCCTTGCGTAATCCCCAAAGGTATGAATTATAATTCAATCGGGTTTAATCTAAACCTTAACTGCTCGTATATAATGGACAGCTCCTGTTCATATGATGCTTGGCTGAGTCATGTGAAGCACATGAAGCAGTTGGCCGAGGATGAACTAGCTGATACATCTTCTATACGGGAGGCGCTCTTTGCTTGCCGCGAGAAAGCTCGCAACATGTTGCACGCGCAGGAGGATCGTGCAGAGCACACGATTAGGAAGCGTATTTTCGAGACTCAGCGGGCTCGCAACGAGCTGGAGTGGCAGAAGCTGAAGATGAAGGATGAAATGGACAGTACTGTATGCGAGATAAAGACGCTGGAGGATGCTTTGAACGATAAGTCAGATTCGCTTAAGTTGGCAGAGACGCGCCTGGAAAATCGTGCTCAACGTAGCGGCATGGAGCTGTGTATGGATCATGCCCACGACCTGCTCTGCCAGGAGGTGGAGAAACTGCGTGAAATACGCCGTGTTCTCAAACAGAAGATCGATGATGCTAGGGCTAACTTCAATGCGCTATCGGATCATGCGCAAGCCATCGACGTGGATCTAGAAAACAAACAACATGCGCTGATGACTGACATTCGTGCCCTGGACTTACGCACCCGCCTCAGGGGCGGGGAGTATGGCATCAAATTAAAGAATCCCAATGATCAGATGAATCGCAATATTGTACTTACCCGCATGGAGGACGAGATACCACTGGCTTAAGAACTATTAATGATGTGTATTACCATAACTCGTGTCTAAATTCCTGTACTAAATTTATGTTTGTTTTTATTCACTTTTCTCCCGATTCGCATTTAGCGAAAAATTGAAATTTAGCTCGCCTAGCAAGGGCCTGAACTTTGTGCTCCAATTCAGGTATTTTTTCTCTGCTGTTTGGTTGATGAAGTGCACGCCCTGACGCACAAACATATCCCACTTCACGTACTGGCCGGTTTCAACGGGCTCCAGGGGTCCGCTGCTTACGATCGACTTGGGATTCTCATTGGACGACAGCTGCCAGTCCACCCACAGCGCAATACCATTGCAGTTGCCCTCGCTGCAGAAAGTATAATTACGATTAAGTTATGGGCGACTTATATGATTATATTCGATACCCACGCTGTCAGTTTTATGCTGCCGTGGTTGCTCTGCTCCACACCAAAGTTGGCGAAATCAACGCTGAGCAATTGCTGCGGCTGTGCCAGAGCACGGCATGGATATTCCCATAGAGGTTGCGCCTCGACCTGGGACAAGGCTTGTTCCGCAGAGCGCTAAAATAAATTTGTAGAGCGTTAAGGTACTGCCAAGACCGATTCCTTATCTTTCTTACCTGCACCATGTCGTCGAAGAGCCTCAGGTCGAAGCCCTCGCAGCTAACAATGGGCGCACGTATCTTATGCAGATCTAGAAACTCTACAGGCAGCGCGAAAATGCGAGCTGCACACGGCGATATCTCTACATTGGCAGGTAGCTTCTGATGCAGCTGCTCCAGCTGCAGCAGCAATGTTCCAAAATAAAAGTTATCCCATGGCAGAATAGAATTTAAGAAATACGGTTCAGCAAATATGTGTGTAATAGTATCTAGCTCCTTGGGCTCCAACTGCTTTAGGCTATCCAAGAACTTCACGTTTTTCAACTGATTGTGTTTGACCACTGACTCGAGCAGACGGCGCGAGAAGCGATGCGGTTCCAGGCAGTGCACGYTGGCGGCACCCAAGGCAGCACTGGCAAGTCCGAGCAGGCAGCCATCGCCCATTACCAGCACGTGGGCGGATTTCGATTGCACTGCCTGCTCCAGGTAGGCGAGGTAGCGCTTGTTCCTACTGCTTTGGTTGAGCTGGCCGATGCGATTGCGGGTGTAGGTCATGTGCAGGTCACAGCTGCAACTGTGTCTTCTAGCCGGCTTCTCGGGCTGCTCTTTGTGTGCGTCAAACCAGAGCGAATACTCATCATGGTAGCATCGCAGCCAGAACTCTTCGCCAGCGTCATGCAGATGAAGCGGGCTAGGTATGTAGTAGATGGCCTGCATCCAGTGATCCCGCCAGGGCACAATGTTTGCAAGCGGTCGCTGTTTGTCTGTGCAGGTTGCCTTCAATTGCTCCAGCTCCGGATGAGCCCAATAGGGCGCACAGCTCAGCAGTTGCTCGCCGGCATCATCCAGCTCAATTTGCCACCAATAGAAAACCAATTCAACACTACCCGGCCTGCTGAGCTGAACACGTACGACATTCTCTCGCGTTAGCTCGAGCGGCTGCTTGCGCTGGAAGTCAAAGTGGAAGATCTGCGTGGGTTCGGAGAGCACGTGGAATGAGTGGGGCGGCAGTTGGGAGAGCTGCACATCGTGGAGCGCAGCCTCGCCGCTGCATTGCAGCAGCTGTGTGGGCGGTCGCAGCAATATGTCGCCATCCAGATCAGGCAGAATTTTTAGGCTGTTCCATTGTGACGCCAGTGGCGATTGCGCCACCTGAGCATAGCACGTCGCCCGTGCGGGTATACATAGCGCATCGTCAGTTAAGAGCTCCTCGTGTGCATGATTGTAAATTCCAATGGCACCTTCGCCAATCAGTTCCGTGTCCAGCAGCTCGGCTACCAGCAAATTAGCTYTGTGCGGCATATCGACGCCCATGACTATGTCTGTGGACCGTTTCCGTATAAGCCGCACATGAGCGGCATCATTGGCTGCCAGAATACGTGCTGCACAGTTGGCCATAGGCAGGAATGCCTCACAGGCTGTCACTGTATCGGCACCAGCACGGAGCGCCATCATGGCCAGAATTCCAGTTCCCGTGCCAATGTCCAGCACATGAACTTGTTTACCAGCCCGACGCATCCCAGCGATTGTTTTCCGTATCGCCGCATCGTACTTCTGGTTGCGCTCCCAGTCGTGCAGCATATCACCAAAGCCGGCATTCGCCACCTCCTGATGATAATCATAGTCATCGCCGCGCTCTTGCCATGTGTTTTGTCCAGTCATTGGGTTGATGACTTGTGCGAAGCTGGCCATGAATCGTATATTCTTCACTGTCAAATGTCGTAGAGCTTTCTGCATCAATAATAAAATAGGTATTATTTATAATATAAGACATATATTTGTGTAATTAAATTTGAAAAATATTCACACACGGGTATTTTGCGTACTTGTCACATTTTCATCTGCAACAGGCTGTTACCATAACAGAAATGTTAAAGTTATCATGCTAATCGGTTCGCGCCGTGAATATCGATATATCTGTAGATTTCGTGCTCTAGTTTGAATTATTCAAAATTCTTAACGGCGAATAATCACTAGCCATAAATGTTGTATGGTAACTGATTAAATGCTATAAAAACAGTTAGGTTAATAAGATAAAAATTAAACATTGGCATTTAAAATTAATTTTATTAAAAAATATAAAAATATGTAATATTAAAGCATTAAAATTAAATATTTAGTTTAGAACTGTTTATCAAGTCGGCGTCGGACACCTGACATAAGCCTAGCTCGTTGCTCCAAGTTCAGATACTTCAGTCCACGTATGTGGTGAATAGGCGTCCGAGCAATTTGTCCATGGCTCACATCGTGGTCTGAATCGGTCCAACTGGATAATCTTTCAATCGAATAGTACTTTGTGTTATAAGAGGCAATGGCAACAGCAATTGGCGTGTGAATATTCAATCCATTATCCTCAACTGGCCAACAACTGAAAATATACTCAATTATGGTAACCCCCAGTATGAACAGTACAACGTAGCTAGTTTCTAACTGCATAAATGCTAGTGGACTTTCCATTGTATGCGATATGTTTATAGTTCGGATTCCACCAAGCGACTAACGTTAAGAAGGCTAGATTTAGACCTTTTATACAAAGTACAGGTAGTAAACTTGCTGCAGGCTTCGGTAGATGAGGCAGGCAAGCAGGCTGAGGTAGCTGCGCTACCTGTGAAATAGATTGACAAGTGTAAACACGATCATATAATCCTAATCTGCTTGTTTTGATTGCGGCTTGTGCATTGAAAGGCAAGAGAAAATGTACATCTCTCTAACAATATTTTTAAGAGCGGTGGGAACTTTTTAAGCTGATTAATATTCATGCTGATAAGCGTTGGGATCTGCTAGCTCGAAAAGCTTAAATATTTCAGCTGTGTAGCAATCATCATTGAGAACTAGCTGCAAGTATGCAGCCAATAAATATTTGCATAATATTTTTATTTACATACATATCAATTGCCACGTGCGAAGATGCTTTTGCGAAAATTGGAAATTTATCAATTAAATATGGTAATCAAACAGAAATACATTTTGCAATTAAAGATTCAAATGGAATGACGCTGCAAGCGCAGCTCGAAGGGCTGAAGTAAGAATATCTCAAATTGATTTTGTTGCAATCTAGCTTAATAAGTATGTATATACATATGTATTTATGTGAATATTTGTATACGCTTTTCAGACTAGAGCAGAGAAGCCTATTTGCCGAACTTACAGCGAAATTTGATAAATTTATAGCAGACAACTGGCTGCCTTCCCAGTTTCCGAATGACTGTGCCAAAGCAACGGCAGTGAGTCGTTTTAGTGGAGTTTATCAGATTGTTATTCCAGACTACAGTGTCCATCCGTTCTTAGTCAGATGTGATGAGCATCCACAAAATGGCGGTTGGACCGTCATCCTGAACCGTGAGGATGGAAGCGTTAATTTCTTTCGCTATTGGAAAGACTATAAGAACGGCTTTGGCAATGTCAATGGTGAGTTCTTTATAGGCCTGGAAAAGCTGCATCTTCTGACCAAGGAGATGGACCAGGAACTGCTTATCGTCATGGAAGACTTTCAACGCAAACAGAAATATGCGAAGTACAATTTATTCGTCGTCGGCAATGAGGATAACTTATATGCCTTGCAAGAGCT